AAGAATTTGCGCAAATCGCGCTGAGAAGCACATTGTCTCTGTTCCAACTGCAAAAGGAGTAGATGGGATGTTCTTGGCGTGTGTTTTTGTAGTGTCAGGAGCTGGCTTTGTTAAAAACCACATGCTTGAGTGTAAAATGTAGGAAATGGGATGCCTTAACTGCAGAGATTGGCCACTTTTTGATATTCTGACAGATGAGGTGCTGTCAGAATATAAACTGAATGCCGACTGAGTAGCTTCGTTGGAGGAGTTGATGATTGCTCAATCTTCCTTTATTTTAGCTAATTTTTGTCCTTAAACAATTCTGAACCATTCTGCTTTATCCCCTTTGAGGTATTTCTTTGACATGTCCACAGCTTTGTTTGGCAGTAGTGATGGACGGAATATCGACATTTGAATTGCTTTTTGGTGGTGAACTCATCGACTACATGATCTTTTGCTTATCCGATCTGATTGATACAAATTTTCTCGAGCGTCCGTTCAGTAGCTGAAGTCTCCACTCTCATCCGCCAGCATGGAGTAGCATCTGCACTTCCTGACCAGCGCGAATTTGTGGCCATACGCTCCCAATGTGAGACTCCGAGGTGATTCTGTGCTCATGCGACAACTTGAACTCATCTCGTTTGGATGCATTTCCAATGGCTTTGGCGTCGTCTCACAGTCCTACGTGTCAGTGCTGGCCGACTTTGATGACAGTCGAATTGCCAGAGCTTGGCTCCCCTCGTCCGTGTCGTCAAATTTCGGCATGGAGTAGCATCTGATCTTCTCGATCCGTGCGAATTTATGGCCGTCCGCTCGCACTACAAAACACCGAAGCAATTCTGTCTCCAAGTGATCATTCTTAGTATATTGGGTTCTTACTTTACACCGATGGGTGTAAAAGTGACATCCCGTTCCGTTTGGTATCGTCTTTGACCCTCAAGTACTACTGGCGACCGACATTGTTGGTAGCTGAATCGTCGGCACTCGACTGCCTTAGGCGAACTTATAGAGGTTCCAGTCAAGTGTAAAGTAGAGTCTGGAGGCATGTGAAAGTTTTCGCGTTGCCCCAGACCCACAACGAACATTCCTTCTACCAGCAGTCCTTTGTAAATACAAAACACTCGAAACAAGCGGCGAATCCTACTTCAGGTTGCGCGGTTCTAGCAGTGCCGTCTCCTTTGAGCGTTCTTGATCCCCTCGTTCGCTTAACGCCATGGCATACGGGTACATTAATGCTGAATGATACTTGACTTCACAATCACAATCGAGCCTTCGTGAGCAGCTTTTCTCGCATACAGTGTGTTGAAGCGTGTTCGTCGCAGGAGATACGCTTTGCTTGAATGTTTTTTTTTCCACCTTTGCGGGACTACATGACTGAATGACAAGTGCCGTTTATGAGTTCTTAAATGCGTTAACGGCTGTATTTTTTGGGCAGTCAAGTTAGTTGCCGTCCAACCAGGCAAGTGCTGAGTTGAAAAACAGTTGTGGGCCTTATGAATACGCCGTCTCACCTCCATCGTCTGTCTAGAACTGTCCAAGACGATTGGATTGGACAATTGGGTGTAGGCAGCCAAATTGTCATTGGAGAGACGTATCTCATTTCGAGAGGACCACTTTTACTGCCTCAACTTGGCAATTTGAACCTCAGCATTCTGAAACAAGCTATTGACATCAAAACTTGTCACGTTGCGTGAGTCTTGAAGGGATTTTATACCCTTGAATTTGCCTTCTCCCTCAAGTCTACGCCACCGTCGAGAGCGTCGGCCACCTCCGATAGCGCGTACTATCATGCTGGTCTCCTTTTTACCTTCCATTTTGTGTTTCTGGTAGTTCCAATAGCTCATGTTTCCCGTAAATTAGGGCATCGCCGTTGTTTTCGGTTAGGAGATGAGGTGTTTGATTCAGAAGGGGAGAAAGTGCTTTGTTCTTGTTCTCAGAGAACCTGTTTCGCTCTTCCACTTTTTTCTGCTTAACAGGGCTGAGGAGAGACTTTTGAGGTAACCTATGCCTTGAATCTATGAGTTTGGGGGTCAAGTCTTTGCTCACGCACTCAGTGACGTCATTCTGAGCGGGTCAGATGGCGAGCTCAGATCCACACTTCCTTCTCCGTTTTCACTTCATTAAATTCTGTTGCTAAAACTTACATTTTTTTCAACTTTCAGGAGTTTTGTGATGTTTTTTTTTTTGATTTCTCCCTTGTCAAATCATCGGCTTCAATGTAATGCTTTAAGATAGAGCCTTTTTTGAAGAGAAAAATGCCTTATTGTTGGATAGCTTTATTGCATAGCATCTGGAGGGCATCCGTACAACTGGTTACATTGACACGAGCCTGACCTTTCGCTTCCACAACCCCGAGGGCGCATTGACCACAGCGGCCCAAACGTCCCCCCCCC